AGAACACTAAGATGGAAGAGGTGAAGAAACAGACACAGAAAGCATAGACACCTCAACTGTGACAGGCAGAAGAGAAAAAGAACTGCTGCTGGATTAGGGAATAGGGTTAAGGAGGAAGACCCCACTGTAGAGGGAAGGCAGGAAGGGAAAGGGTGCATCATGCACATGGAGACTGGCTTTCACATATTATCCGCTACAACAGAAGCAAAGAAGTTATGCATGATGTAAAACACAGTTTATAGACTTGGTGGTAGGAGTTGAAGAAGTTCCTTGGTTATAAATACCATTCTTAAAATTATCCAACCCAAATCAAGAACACTCTCAAATTCCTACTACATACCCTTTATAATTCTATTTTCTCCAGGAACAATTCCAAAGGCATCTAACCAGTATCCCTCATCTACTCTCACTCCAGCTAACCCAACAAGTTCTCACTCTCATTGTGTGTGGGCATGCACCTATGTGATAGTGTATGTGATAAAGGAATCAAATTATTGCCCGAAGGCCTATCTTATAAGAAGGACTAAAAGGTCATTCTGGTTTTCTAATCAAAACAGGAGAAGGTACCATTACTATGGTATCATCCAAAGATGAGGTACTAACATAAATTCTTCGTGGGGAAGGGTAATGCTTTCTCCAAAGCTCATAATGGTTTTGCTCCTTTTGGCTCAGTGACTACAAATTCAGTGCCAATCTCAAGCCCCTTCTTGTTCTTGCAAAGAGTAAACAGCATACATGTGACCTCAACAGGGACAAAATGGAAACTTTGTTCTTTCATTTTTCTTGCCTCTGCATAGATGTCAAGGATTAGACCATCTCTTAATGGGAAATTACTATTCCTTTAGGGATTAATATAATTGAAATGTCAAAGGACTGGGTGGGGGAATTTTTCAAAACCTTAAGACAAAAGACAAGAAATATGACTTAATGAGTTCTTTAAAGGGTCAGTGGTACTTCCAGAAAATGTCAGGGTTTAGAGGATTTTTTAGTTTTCTGGTCTTCCTCCAGAAGGAATTCGTGCCTGTTTCCCACCAAGATGGATCAGATAATATTCATTCTGAGTCACAATCCCATGGACATACACAGGTCAGTGATGCTTACTATAGCTGTGACATGGACACATGCAAGTCCTACACCCTTGCTTTGACTGCCATTTCTCTCATATTCAAGAACAAGTGATGTATATTGCCATAATAGAAACTGTAAAGTGGGCTCTAAAGAATATGTTGTGTATTACACACTATATGTTATTCACAGACTTTGTCATTGTTCTTAGTTGCCATCAAGTAGGCTCCAACTCATGGCAACCTCACATACGATAGAACAAAATGCTTCTGGGTACTGCACCATCCTTATGTTCGCTGGCATGATTGAGCCCATTGTTGCCTTCCAACCTAGAGGGCCCATCTTCCAGCACTACATCAGACAATATTCTGTTCAGATCCAGAGTTTTCATTAGCTACTTTCCACAGGTAGATCACCAGGCCGTTTTCCCCAGTCTTATTCGACTGAAACCTGCCCACCATGGGTGACCCTGTTTGTATTTGAAATATCGGTGGCATAGCTTCCAGCATCATAGCAATACACAAGCCACCACAATATGACAATGTGACAGACAGGTAGTGGATTCACAAACTATATGGCTATATTATTCAATGAGATGGTAAGAGCCTTACAGATAGCAATTGCTCACTGAATGAAAACTCTGAGGCAGAAGAATCAAACCACTTGGGATACGCATCCATAGGGGAACAAACAGTATACAACTTTTCTTAGGCACAAATAATAAAAAAAAAAAAAAAACCAAACCCGTTGCCGTGGAGTTGGTTCCAAATCACAGCGACCCTATAGGACAGAATAGAACTGCCCCATAGAGTTTCCAGGGAGCTCCTAGTGGATTTTCACTGCTGACTTTTTGGTTAGCAGCCGTAGCACTTAACCACTACGCCACCAGTTTCTTAGGCATAAGAATGTATGCCTAAGAATGTATTCGTATGGCAGCCTAATGTGTTAACCGTTTGTGCCACCAAAGGGCTCATACGCAGATTAAGTCAACTGACCTGTAACTGACAGTGTTATAAGTAGTAAGACCAGAACTCAAAGACAAGAGTTTCACTGGAAGTCGTGATCCTTAACGGTTGTGCCACATACCTCCCAAGAAGTGTTTTAGAGACACAAGATCTTATGCTTTCAAATAGACCTTGAAAACCTGAGAAAACCATTGGCTATCTTTCTTTTTCATGGGATTTAGGGAGATGTGGTTAAATTCATGCAATCAAAAGATTTTATGGAGGGTCTACTTGTGTCAGATGCTGTTCTTAGCGCTAGGGTGTAAGGTTGCACATAGTCCCTGCCCCCCAGGAGCTACTAGTCATACATGCGAGACAGACATTGATCAAATAACTGTATAGAGAGCTTTCCTGAGTCAGAAATGTCTGAACGGAATTGAGGAATAGAAGACATTTAGGCTTTACCCTCTAGGAAACAAACTGCTTGATAGCTAGAACTGGATCTTACTCATCTTTAAATCCATGGTGCCTAGTACTCGGTTGATGTTTAGAGACTGTGTGCTGAATGAAAAGTGGGACTCACTCCATATAAAAATGAAGTTTAAGAGAACTTGGCAAGGAGGTCAAAGTCTTACCTTCAGGTTGTTCATATTGGCTGAAGAAAAACCCACGTATCTCTAGCTAGAGAAGAATTCAAGCCTTGAGCCAAATTTTGTAGATCAATATGCCTTTACTACTTCACCTCTATTTCCGCATCTCTTTCTTATCCCATTTTTAACTGGTCTTGCATTCAGTTAGCTTTTTGTGCTCCTTAAAAATACAGTTTTATGGCTCATTATATTAGATAATAATAAAATCAAATTGACATAATAACCTACTTTTTTCTGTTATGAAATTCATTATGTATTTTTGGATAGTGATAATTTCAGTATGTGTCAGAACTATTATTTTACACTTTGGGATGTTCAAATTTGGACATTGACCAAAATTAAATGCAGTAAGATATTGGGGCCAATTCAGTGATTGAGAATCTTAATAATTTTTATTTAGTGGGCAGGATGAATAAAGGGGGCTAAGAGTTGTCATAGTAGAAAAGTAGTTACTCAGGTCAGTAGGGAGAGTGGTTATTTTCTTACTTTTGTGGATGCAGAATAATAACCAGTTCCAACTCTGACTCATGGCAATCACATGTTTCAGAGCAGACCTGTGTGCCATAGGGTTTTGAACGGCTACAATCTTCTGGAAGTAGATCGCCAGGCCTTTCTTCCAAAATGCCTCTGGGTGGATTCAAACCACCAACCTTCCAGTTAGTAGCCAAGCACTTAATGGATTGCACCACCCAGAGTCTCCTTGTGTTTGCAAAAAGTCCTTGTTTTTGTCTATGTTCAGACATGAGTACATGGTGGTCTTATTCATGTCTGGTCTCATCACAGTCCTGGCATGACCTGATCTGATGCTGAAATTCTTCGAAATTGCTTGTTTATATGGAACGCTATGGTTTGTTACCATCTGTCAGTTGTCAGGTCCTTTGCTTCTTTTTCACAGACAGAACTCTTTTTACTCTTTTACTCTCCTAACCTGAGAGGGAGCCATCTTTACTAGTTTCTTGTTCATCTTTCCAGTGTTTCTTTTTTGTAAATACAGTCTAGTATATTCTTATTTCTCCTGTGGCAAAAAAAAAAAAGCTAACCTTTTATATACACTTTTCTACCCCTTGCTTGTTTCTCTTTTCAATATGAACTGAAGAGCTTTCCATCTAAATACATTGAAGTCTTTCTTATTCTTGTTAATGGGTGAATAGTGCTCCATTGTCTGGATGTGCCATGGTTATTACATAATTTTAGCTTCTTAACAGAAATAAGGAGCCGTGGTGGTGCAATTGTTAAGCACTCAGCTACTAACTGAAAGGTTGGCAGTGCCTCAGAAGAATGACCTAGTGATGTATTTTCAAAAGATCACAGCCACTGAAAACCCTTTGCAGCACAGTTCTGCTCTGAAACATAGGGGGTCACTATGAGATGGTGTCGAATCTACAGCCATTGTTTTGTTTCATTTTGTTTTGCTTTTTAGTTTGGATGGATGCTTATTTGTAAAACCCTGAGCTCATATTTGAGAGCGTATGTTACATAAACCTGAGCATTACAGGCAGTCTGGTGAACTGGGTTCAATCCTTAGATCCACCCACAATTTGCTTGACAAATCACTTAAACTCTCTCAAGCTCAGGTTCCACATTAGTAAAATTAAGAGTTTGATGAATATTTAAGTCCCCATCAAATTGCATTCCTTTTTGATCTTTTCTCATATGTTTACCAGCCCACCCTCCGTGAGAGAAAAAAAAAAAAAAAGCCCTGATTTGTAGTATCTATGGATCTCCATGGTGTAAATACTGTAATCGTGGCCAATTTCAGATCACAGTTTAATATTCAGCTTGAAAATTTTCTGAAAATTAAACAATCAGCACTCGGAGCTGGTACACTGTGACTCCAGTAGATCTCTGGGAAAACTTCCTAAAATGACACTCAGTGAGACTCACACATTGTAACCTCCCCATTGGGAACTTAAGTTATATCACACTTGAGTTGAACAAAAAGGAAACTAAAACATTATTCTCTAAATCTACTACCTTAATCATTCCCTGAAACATCCACTAGTTTGTAGCACAGAAGGATTGTTTAGGTGTCAACAGTAACTCATTTTAATAAATACCACGTGTTTACCCAACCTTAATCTACAAAGAAACTTACTTCTTTGATCAAATCCCATTATTAGCAAACTAATTCTCATTCTTAATGATGGCTGCACATTTTAATGACTACCTTTCGAAAATTACTGATACTCAGCCCCATCCCAGACTAATTAAATCAGAACCTCTGAAGAATGGGGCTCAGATAATAGTTTGTTTGAACAGGGTTCCAGGCCGGGGGTTAAGGACTTCTGGTCTTTGGATATTTGGTATGTAGGTATTCTGACATTTCTGTTTCTCTTTTTAGGTGAAGGACACTGTGCAGATGCGTTAGAACAAGATGATACTGATTCAGCTGAACTAATTGAAGTACGAGAAAAAATATTCCAGATCTTACAAAAATGGCTAAAGCAATAGATCTCTCATGAAAGATAAGTGCAACAGAACCCCAAATATGGCAGTGTTAGCTGTCTTCGTAATACTGAATTCTTAACTTCAAATGTCTAATATACTAATATCCATACAATTTACTAGAGGCAAAATAGCCTTTTTTTCTTTTTTTTTTTAATGAAGCCAATCCCATTCAGATAGGATGGCACATTGACAATAAACTCTTATTTGTCCTCATTTCAAACAAAAATCTCCTTTTTTTTTTCCTTCAGCTGTTCAGGGCAAACCAAAACTAAACTTGTGCTTGAAAGGGGTAAAATATAACTTGGTACTTAAACCCATTCCTGTCAGTTCTGACTTATACTGACCACATAGGACAGAAAAGAATTGCCTCACACGGTTTCCAAGGGTATAGTCGTTAGGGAAGTAGATCTCTTTCTCCCTTGGAGCACCTGCTGGTTTCCAAAGACCAACCTTTTGGTTAGCAGCCCATCTTAGTACCTACTACCTCCTCCCAAATTTGTAGAGGAATTCAGGAAGTGTCAGTGATCTATTTTCTTATGTATATGTGTTAAAATTTATTTTATAATTCATATTTAAAATCAAATTACATTAGATATCTAGAAAATCCATTAGCACATATTAAGTTCTTAAAATACATAAGGGGAAGAAATGAATCTAATAGTTAAATATCATGTTTTTATATTTAACTGTTTTTCATTTCTTTTTAATTTGCTTAATAATATAGACCTGGCTTATTTCTAGAAAGTTTACTCCTAAATATATATTTATAAAAGTCTCTCATTACGGGGCAATCCAATGGCATACAGGCAACATTATTATACAACTTCCAAATCGGGAAATGATTTGGCTTATATCTATTTCAAAGTTTGGAGCAATATGAGTTTTGTGCATTCTTTGTTCCCTTCTTTTAGGGCTTGAGCTTTCAGGATTAACTCCACAAAGACTGAGGTAAATATAGATGCCATTGGCATGAAAGCTGCCCTGTCCTGCGCGATCCCAGTGATTGTTTGTGGATTGGACCATTGTGATCCAAAGAGTTTACATTGTTTGATTTTCAGTAAAATACAAGGCCTTTTTCCTAGTCCATTTTAGTCTGGAAGTTCTGCTGAAACCTGTTCAGCATTATAGAAACATGCAAGCCTTCACTGACAGACAGGTGGTGGCTGCCCATGAGGTGCATTGGGCAGAAATCGAACCTGGGTCTCCCACATGGAAGACAAGAATTCTACCTCTCAATGGTTTACTTAGCACTTAGTTTCCTAGGGCTGCTGGGACCACAAATTACCACAAACTGGGCAGCTTTAAACAACAGAAATGTATTCTCTCTCAGGTCTGGAGGCAGAAGTCTGAAATCAAGGTGCCAGTAAGGCCTCACTCCCTCTGAAAGCTCTAGGGGAGAATCCTTGCTTACCTCATCCAGCTTCTGCTGCCTGAAGGCTTCCTTGGCTTGTGGCAGCACCACTGCAATACTGGCTTCTATCTTTACATGGCCTCTCCACTGTGTCTCTGTGTGTGGCTCAAATCTCCCTCACCTTTCTGTTACAGGACACCAGTTATTGGATTTAGGGCCCACCCTAAATCTGGGATGATCTTATCTCAAGTATTTTTTATCTTAATCGAGATCTACAGAGACTGTTTTCAAATAAGATCCCATTCACAAGTACCAGGGGTTAGGACTTGGAAATATCTATTTTGGGAGGACACAATTCAACCCACTACAGTAGTCAAATTGATCCAAGATTCATTGCAAACAAAATTGACAGAGGCTAGTAAGTGGCACTTAAGCCCTGGTGGCATGGTGCTAAAGCGCTTGGCTGCTAACTGAAAGGTCGACTGTTGGAAGTCACCAGCCACTCTGTAGGATAAAGATGTGGCAGTGTGCATCTATAAAGATTTACAGCCTTAGAAACTCAACAGTGGCAGTTCTACTCTGTCCTATAGTATCCCTATTAATTGGAATACACTCGACGACAACTGGCCTGGGTTTATTTTTTGGTTTGGTGTAAGTGGCAGAAGGAGCCTGGTGGCACAGTGGGAAAGCGCTCAACTGCTAACCAAAAGGTGGGTGGTTGGAACCCACTAGCTGCACTGTGGAAGTAAGATGTGGCAATCTGCCTTCATAAAGATTTGCAGCCTTGGAAACCCAATGAGACAGCTCTACTCTGTCCTGTAGGGTTTCTATAGAGTCACTGTGAGTCTGAATCGACTTGACGGCAATGGGTTTGGTTTAGGTTTTTTTAGTGAGTGTCAGAAAGCTTCAAAACAAGCCATAAGGAGAAACCTGAATCCCTAGGACTTGGGGCCACATTGTTAAACCACAGATGATTTCACATGCCCCATTCTAATGCCTTACAGCCTCACACAGTGGTCCACATTTCTATAATTTTCCCTTTCGGTATGTGTATTTTTGTGTGTTAATATGAGTAACATAGTCAATTTAATTCATTTTAAATGTATGCTATGGGAAAGACATTTTGCATTCTGAAGTTCAGTTTTTACTTCCTTGAGGGAGGCATTTTTGTTTTGAAGAAGTAGAATATATTAATTCCATTTTAAGAAAGAATGTCACTGAAAAAAAGTTTGCTATATAAAACCTTGCTTTACAGTTCACTTCCATATCTGTCCACAGATCAAGAGCTTTCTGTGTTCTCCTTCCAAACTCTTTCTATAGATTAGCAGAATGTTGACAGTAGAAAGGAGGGAATATGTATTCTTTCTGGTGAAGCAATTTCATGTTTGTTTTTAAATTATTTTCATAGGATTTCCATAGAATAGATGAGTTAGAAATATTTTTGCCAATTCTAGTGTCCAACCTTACTAAGTAATATCCACATACTTGGGCTAAATCTTATTTTTCCAGGATGTAACTAATTCTCATTGTGGTTTCTATTGTCACATGTTTCCCTTCTTAATCTGACTCTACATTTTATCTTCAAAGAATGAGCCACTCCTCTGCCTACTATGACAAAGAAAATTACTTGAAAAACTATTTCTTTTCTTTTTTTCGGAGCTAGAAATGTTTTATTCTTAAACTCCCAAAATAATTTTCCTCTCCCCAAAGTCAATTTTGTTACAAGTTATACATAAGGCTTGCAGTTTTTTCTAAAAGTTTGTGTAGTTAGTTTAGGATTTACAAATTAATTTAATATTGAGTGCTAGGAATATTAATATATAGCTAAGGTGTAACACAGTCTTACAGCTGAAAGTAAAGACAAAGGAAAGACGCTGAAGCTATTTAATGAAAATGAAGAGATTTCTGAACTTTTGCAAAGACACTTTCTCCCCAGTTTAATCTCAGAAGATGTATATAAAATCAGGTTCAAGAGATATCACTTCAATTGCTGACATTCAGACTCCAAATGTTAGCAGGCTTTGCTTGAGGACATTATTGCAAAGATTTAAGTTGCATAATTAAGACCAAGGAATTCACTGTCTCTCTACAGTATTCTGGAAATGATTTAAGTCAACAAACATTTACAGTTTTTGGTGCCTGACCCAGCAGCTAATCCTTTTGCACTTTGGTTTTCATTACAAATAACATATTTTACTTTCATTACAAAAAATTTTATAAATTCTGTGTTTAAATAAATTTCCTCCTTAACTTTTTCTTTTCTGCTTTCCCCAACTCTAGCCCAAAACATCCTTGCAAGTGTTCTTACCGTTTGCTTTCTGTTTATTAATATTCTTCTCCAGCAAGATTTCTTCCAATGGATAATCATAGAGTGGCTGACTAAAGATATTTTTACAAATAATTTACAGTGGCATTTGACTATGGTTTTGATTGGAATCTAATAATAGGATTTGTCATTTTCTCTAACACAGTCTTCCTTGAACATGCCCTCAGGTTGGATTTTGATGTTTAATAAATGGAAAATTATCAGGGGCTAGGGAAGATGAGGAAACCCTGGGGATGTAGTGGCTAAGTGCTATAGCTGCTAACCAAAAGGTCAGCAGTTCAATTCCACCAGATGCTCCACAGGAGAAAGGTGTGGCAATCTGCTTCTATACATAAAGATTACAGCCTTGGAAACTATATGCGGCAGTTCTACACTGTCCCGTAGGATTGCTTTGAGTTGGAATTCATTTACAGCAATGGGTTTGCTTGGGTTTAGGGAGGCTAAGGAAGGAGGCTTGATGGCTCAATGGCTAAATGCTCAGCTGCTAACTGCCGTGCTGGCAGTTCAAACCCACCAGTGGCTATGCAAGAGAAAAGACCTGGCAATCGGCTCCCATAAAGATTACAGCCAAGAAAAGCCCACAGGGCAGTTCTAGTCTGTTATATTGCGTCATTATGAGTCAAAAATCGACTCCATAAACTCTTACGCACTGCTGGTGGGAATGTATAATGATACAACCACTTTGGAAAAATATATGACGCTTCCTTAGAAAGCTAAGAATAGAAATACCATACGATCCAGCAATCCCACTCCTGGCAATATGTCCTAGAGAAACTAGAGCTGTCATACGAATAGACATATGCATGCCTATGTTCATTGCAGCATTGTTCACAAAAGCAAAAAGATGGAAACAACCTAGACGCCCATCAACAGATGAACGCATAAACAAACTATAGTACATACACACAATGGAGTATTATGCAATAATACAGAACAATGATGAATCTGTGAAACATCTGATAACATGGATGAAACTGGAGGACATTATGCTGAGTGAAATAAGTCAATCACAAAAGGACAAATATTGTATGAGAACTCTACTGTAAAAACTCATTAGAAGGGTTAGACATGAAAAGAAACAATCTTTGTTGGTTATGAGGGATGGGGGGTGGGGGAGGAGAACTAAATAGACAATAGATCATTGGTAACGTTCGTGAAGGGTAAGACAGTACACAATACTGGGGAAGCCAGCACAACTTGTACAAGAAAGGTCGTGGAAGCTCCATAGACATATCCAAACTCCCTAAGGGACTGAATTACTGGGCGAAGGGCTGTGGGGACCATGGTCTCAGGGAATATCTAGCTCAGTTGGCATAACACAGTTTA